ATTTCTTCCCCAATTAGAGATTTCCACAGACTGATTTCAAGTAGCTAATAAGAATGTACAGGGATTATAAACATACTTTCTTTGGGTATTTTGGGTATGATTAATCCTGTTTCCCGACTTCAGAACACTAATACGTATATAATGAATTCTTTTTACTGTTGTTCTCATTTTCTTTGGACTTCAGGTATGAAAAAGAAGGGGTAAAAAAAGAAGTTGATTAGTACTGCTTCTGGCATTAAACAATTGAGCTGGAGTTAGGAAGATACTTTTGAAGGGATTTTTCTGCCACTGTTCGAAAGCTGCTTGAACTTACAAATTAGCCAATGAAGGTTTAAGAACCTTGTGGAAAATTTTCCACTAAGAGTAAATTTATATATTCCATTTCTCATGCTGTCACCAAAGGGGCATGAGTGTATTTTTTCAATAACAATTTAAAGGTAGATTGAAGTACACTTCCAGTACAAACAGTTATCAAATGACAGTTAAGAAGTTCATTGTTGGTAACTGTGCAAAAGAGGATATGCATGGATAGTTTGTTCAGTTTCTAGTTAAATACTATTTCTCAATGAATTAAAAATATGGACTCTCCTGGGGAAATCTAACAGAAGATTTCTGCACATAACCTTTAGGTAAGGAAGTCAAACCTTGTAAACAACTAGAACAGAATCTCTGAGGGAAAAATGATTGTGAAATAACTGAACAGTGCATAATGGGATAACCAAGTCAACAGACATTATTTTATTGTAATATTCTGCTGATTGTGAACATATCACCAAAGCATATATCTGCCTATGAACAGCTTAAAAGAAGTGCCTGTATAGTGATTGGCTTCCTTTGGGATAATGCAGGAGGATGTGTGTAAGATTTAAAATTGTGTGTTCCTTTTAGGAACTGTAATGGGGCCCTTATTTTTTTCTTCCTTTGGAAAAATAAAGAATTAAATAAAAAACATAAATTAAAAAATTAAGCATTAATCTCCTAGTGGTACCTAGTAACGAAATGTGCTAAGATGTAGTCTATAGGAATAGAAGCAGAGAAAATGAGTCTCAGTGACTCTTATCAAGACCAGCAAATACATTAGGTAGCAAATGCTTAGGCCAATATTTAACAGTAACCTCTTTTGTCAGTCACTGAAAATTGATGCAAGTGTCTGAGGTAAAAGGCTAGCTTGCCTTTGAAAACATCACTGGCTGGTGTCACCAGTTCCACTTTTGCAGCATCTAACACTTTGCAAACTTATCCTAAATGACACTTGTATCTGCACTTTTGAGGAACTGCATCAGTTCTTGCACATGGATTTTCTTTATAATTGATGTTATGGGAAATATTTTTCTTCAAATGTTAATTTCAGAAGGTATGGAAATGCTGTGTATTGAGCCAAAACATGTGGAGGTTTTCTGCCACCCATTCTACCTGATATTTTTTCCACCCACTTAAAATCAGTTAATATCATCTTCCTGTGTGAGACTCAGGACTGAATTAAGTAGAAGGTTGTAAAATGCCTTATTAGCTGTAGATGTTAACTTTTGTTCAAGGCAACTGCTTTAGCAGATCTAAGCCTTCAAGAAAAGCTATGCTGTTCTTGTTTGCATATAATTATATTTTTCTCTGTATACTCAATGCTACAATTATTACCCTCAATTGCTGTCACGTGAAAAAGTTCAACTGAATCCATGGATGTTTATCAATTTTTTGATCTCTAAAACTGTAATCTAGAGTCTAAATTATATTCTTTACTTTAAAATAATACCGTTTTAGAATTTGTATTACACAGTGGTTCACATCCATCTTTAGAGAATCAGAGTGAGAGAATTCAACTCAGAGGTTAATTTGGTCCATACACTTAGTCAATAGCAGGTCTGAGGAAAATTAGCACCAATAATTATAAAACTGATGTAAGTCATGAATCTTATTAGAGTAATTTTTAACAATTTAAGGACTAAAGGATCACAAATGTCAGGAATTCAGTCATATCCTTGGCTTTTAATAAATGGCAAATATTGTTAGAATTTAGGCTCCCTAAATTTGTGAGCTTAATTAGCCTCCAAGAACGCAGAAGATAAAATGATCAATTTTAAAGCAGTGTTACTAAGCTAAGAGATTCAAGCCAAATTGGACATGGATATTATTAGACTGTATTTATTGCAAAAGGGGAACTCTTACTGATTTTTTCTATAAGCATCAATCAGAAATGATTTTCATTTATTTTTCTTCTGAGTGACTATATATGCTACTAAGAAACAGGTGTTGCTGCTTCTCATACAGGTCCACAGGCAGAAGAATTCTGTTTTATTATACTATAACCTGCAAGCTGTAGGTGATTTAACTACCCAAGTATCTATTGCAAAAGTAATACATCAGGACACAAGCTGTCCAGCAAGTCCATGAATGCATTGCTGAGACAATTAGTTACATAGGATAGGAAAAAGGGATGGATGAGATTTCAGAAAATGCTTCTAACTCATAGAAAATTAAGAGTCAAACATTACTGTGGAATGCTAGAGTTCAAGATGCTTGGAAAGGGTTCGCACACATAAAGCCAATGGATTTCAGAAAAAGACAAACATCAATAAACTCAAGAGAATTGATAGGTGAGGTCTCCAGTGATGTTGGTCTCAGGGAATAATGATTAAGGAGATCTAGCAGATGTTTAAGACAGAGGAAAGCTAGGAAACACACCACAACACCAATTAGACCAAAATATAAATTCAAACATGAGATTCAACCCTAATCTAAAGGAAAATAATTTAAGTTAGAAAGTAACACAAGTATAAAAGTCCAGCACAATTTTAGGGGCAAAAATGAGAACAGCACAGAAACTGAAATGCACTTAGTAATGGACATGTGTAAGAAATAATTCTGAAAGAACCTGAATATTCAAAGGCAAACCGAAGAAAAAACTAGTCTCCCAATGAGCATAATAGAAGAGTTACTTATCTGAGATGCCAAGATTTAAATTTTTCAGCTTTGTTAGGTGGCTCTTCTAGTTATTTCCAGCGATAAAGGTATTCACAGAATCTAGATAAGATAGTTCTGAATCATCCACATGTGATGAATTTCGTTGTTTTAAAAAATCTGGCTCATGTAATCTTGGAGTCATTAACAATAATATATGAAATTGTGGAAGACAACAGATACAGTGGGGGTTGGAAATGTCTTTGCTAAAGCAGCCAAGCATAATGCCTGTCTCAAAAAGTGGGAGAAAATAGGAACATTCCCCAAAGAGAATGCAATAATTTAATAATTTGTAAGCACCTGGATGAAAAATAGAATTTTCTTATACCTGATGCAGATTTAAAAAATTCATACCACATTTCAAACTGCTAGAAGATAGAAATCACGTCAGTAGGAAAGAGGATAAGCTATATGACTTGATTTCACTGAGTCTATCTGTATGCGACAAGTTTCTTATAAGCAAATTAAGGAAATGTGCCTTCACTGGAACAGTTTGAGAGACATACTTTAAGGAGGAAATCTCAATGACTTATTGACATATTTGTGTTATGCTCCCACTAGGTTTTGTCCTCAGTTTAGTACCAATCAATGCTTCTATTACTAGTGACCAGAAGTATAGAAAAAATATTACAATATCACACCAACTGAGGAAGGATTTACATCATACTGATGACCTGCTTAGAATCCAAAATGTTCTAAAAAAAAATGTGAAACTTTTTATGAATCCAAATTAAGGGTGATGAAGTTGCCATCACTGAAAGTTCTTATGGACAGATTAGACTATCATCTGCCCAAAACAATAGGTAGATAACAGTGATGTTCCAATCCAGTGGCAAAATAGGTTCATTAATTCTTTTTCAGGTACATAATTTGTTTTAGTTTCAGTCATGGATTTATGAAAACATGAATGGAGTAAAGGTGCTGAGTTCCTCTTCTTGTGCCAGCAGAATCCTTACAGGCTTTGTAGAGTTCTGCTAAATGTAATAAACAACTTTAACTTCTCCAGCATCAGTCCTTCAGGCACAAATGGTTCATTAGTATACCAGCATTTACCTCCATCAGATAACTATGGTGCCTGCCTCAGCCTCACAGCAGGGCCTTTGCTTTTCTTCTACCCTGCCAGGATTTCAATATGTTAGAGGCTAACAAAACTGATTTATTTTTATTCTGAGTTTGAGGCTTCTATCTTACTGCTTCTCTAACTTACTGTTCCAATTTATAGATGAATTTGCTGCTTCTAAACACACTAGAAACACTACTGCAGAGACACATATGCCTAAAATTTACAGCTACATGTGATGTCAAATATTAGCTTTGATTTGTCCACAACAGATAGATTTCCTCATTTCATTTTCACATATGTGATTTACAGTAGTACTTTACCCTACCTATAATTTCTATATTCCTACTATTGTTTGATTTACGGTTTAAGTTTGATTTACGGTTATGTTTGAATTTCTTCTTGCTTTTCTTTTTTAAATATGTCAACTTTTTGAATACACACTGAAATAAAATCTTTCTGTCCGTTGTTGTCTCACATGTTGTATTGATATATATAATGCTTTTCTGGTATACAGAATGCTAAATTTTGGTTCTTGCCCTTGAATACCTCTTGCATTCTCTTAGTCTTATAGGATTTGAGCTTATCCAATTTACATCTGCCCTTCAAGGATTTGTATTTCTTTTATTTCCTGATACAGTTTTGATGTTATCTCTAATTTGATCTTGGACTGATGTCAGATCTTTTCTCAACAACTGTGGAATATATATGCAGTCATTACAGTTCAGAGCTATCTCTTATAGACAAGACATTGAATACTTTAGCACTGTGATTTGACTGGACCCAGGAGTATTTCAATAACTACTAATATTTAGCTTTAGTGAGATTCCTTGAAACAAAAAGCATTCCTTAGAGAGTCAATCCTTTTTATGTGTATAAAACCAGAATGCACTTCTGTTCAGATATTTGGTGTAGTTATTGTGGGAACTGCAGAAGCAAAAAATGAAGACAATGAATCATCTGGCTGGAATCCACAATGTAGCCAGTATCAGACAAACATATTTTAAACCCTCTCTTTTTCTATTGGTTTCTGTTTTTCTTTCAAATAATATGGTTTGCCCCACACTGACAGATCTTTGTTTAAAGGGTTTCCTATCAGAGACCTGCACCTGTACTGGGGAATCACCTGCACTGAAATTTTGAGTGAGTGTTAATGCTTAGTTTTGGCAGATGTTACCTCAGGAACAAAAGCTATATGGAAATAATGGCAGTTCTAAGGTTTATGACTTAATGAAAAAATAATGTGGGTGACAGCCCCGCCCATATCAGGGGAGTTGGAACTAGATATTCTTTAAGGTCCCTTTCAACCTAAGCCATTCTATGACTCTAAGATTCTGTGAAAGAAGGAAAGAGAGAAGGAAGGAGAGAAAGGGGGACAGAGGACAGTGAAGAAGAGAGGCTGAGAAAGAAGAAAAAAAAAAAAGGGGGGAGAAAAAAAAGGGGAAGGGAGGGGAAGGGAAGGGAAGGGAAGGGAAGGGAAGGGAAGGGAAGGGAAGGGAAGGGAAGGGAAGGGAAGGGAAGGGAAGGGAAGGGAAGGGAAGGGAAGGAAGGGAAGGGAAGGGAAGGGAAGGGAAGGGAAGGGAAGGGAAGGGAAGGGAAGGGAAGGGAAGGGAAGGGAAGGGAAGGGAAGGGAAGGGAAGGGAAGGGAAGGGAAGGGAAGGGAAGGCTGCAGTCTTAAGAAGCAACAGTAGGACCAAAAAAACAATAGTGCCTGACCAAGATGTGCTTTGTAGTCAGCCAAAAAAAATGCCCTGGAAATCTATGGACTATTTTACTGATGGGTTAAAACAAGGCTTTCTGTTTTGGAGATGACTGTGGGCATGTGTGTGTATTTGTGTTGATGCCAGTTTTCCTGCAGTAAGCAAAGTTATATCCTCTTTTTTTACCTTTTACCTTGTAAGCTAATGCTGTTAGTGCTTCTAGCTATGCCAAATGCCAAAGATGTTGCAAGAAAGCAAAATGAAAAGCATGAGGCAGTGGTTCAAATGTTAAAGGATGTGGGCAAAGCCAGTGGTGACGGATAAACAAAGGAGGAGTTCCAGGAAGGAATTGAATGAAAGAGCTTTTTGAAAAATAGGGGAGGGTGTGTGTGCATTGTGTGTGTGATTTAAACTTCCTTACTTCATTCAATTCATTTCTATATTTTCCACTTCTATGGAAAAGTACTCTGAACCATTACCTCAGACAATAAGCTTTGCAAAAACTTCCATGCAAAATTATCCTTTATTATTTTTAAATTCCATCAAATACTTTTAAATTATTTCCCAGTCATTAACTATTTCAATACAAACAATCTATGTAGCAAAATGCAAATGAGGGATTTTCAACCCACAGACTGCTTCTAATGGGCTCAGAAAAGCTAACTAAAGGCTAGCATGTTGCCAAATGGTTCAAATTTGTCATACAGCAACTTCCACTTGAAAATATTTAGGGATCTGCATGCAGAAGAAAAGATTAAAATCACTGATGTAAATGATACCAGAAGCATTAGCTTTTTTGCATGGTTAGGGGCATATCCTTTTTACTTATTATTCCAGGTTCCTTGTGAAGTGCCAATAACTGCATTTGGTATTGTACAATATTCATACAGCCTCCAGAGAAAAGAGCATGCATTGAAAAGGAGACAGTTGCAAAATAGACACTGCACCTTGAAAAGCACAAAGGAAGTTATAAGTAGGAGGGTTGACATTTTTCTCTTCTTTTATCTTTCCTGGACATAAAAAAAAAAAAAAAAAAAAAAAAAAAAAAAAAAAAAAAAAAAAAGGGAGGCCTTCATTTTAAAGATTTACAATAGGTTTACAATAGGGCATTTTAAAAAAAGATAGATTCACTAGATTCACGTTGTGACACTGTGCAAGCGGGTCACCGCGTTACAGGTCTTGCAAAAACCTGTGGCTCCATTTGCATTGCTAATCTCAAGTACCCATAAACAGACAATTGCAGTACATTGTTGATTCCACTAGAGGGGTCAATTGTTCCTGTATGATAAATGCTTAGCCGGAAGACTGGTCTCAGTAATACCTGCTGGTTGCCACTTCTGATCTCTAACAAACAAACACAAGAAATTATTTGGCTTAATAGCAAGAGACAGCTACCGGGCTTCTATAAGCTTCGTGTTTTACAAAGCCCATAGGAAAGTTTTAAATCTTATGGCTTGTACTGCCATTCAGAGGTGGTAACTACTGCTATACTTTAGGATTTGTTATAAGCTTGCAGCCTCTTTCTCTTTTGGAGATGAATTATTTATTATTGAGGTAAATCAGAAGGTCTTCTGAAAGAATTGGGGTAGTAAAGACAAGATGTGGAGGCTGCTCCTCTGAGTGGTATTTACCTGGCTCTAGGAGAAGTCTTGCAGAAGTCAGTTCAGCAGTCTGGCTGAAAATATGCCCAATGCAATAGCTAGCCAGAATGTCACAGTCTGAAAAAAACTTATGATCATTTTTAACTTACAGAATTTTAAGCAGCGTTATTTGCCTTCAGAAAGCTATCAATAACCCTGACTTTATAATTATAGCTTTGTTTTGAGTAACAGTCATTTAAAAAGGAGCCTGGCTAAAGGGAGGCATGCTAAAACTCCCTGTCTTTGTCTTTGAGGAAGAGGTGGAATATGGGCCAAGATTTCCTCTACTTATTCCCTTTGCTTTTCCTAATCTGCTCTTCAACTGGGTACCTGCTTCAGCAGCTAAGAAAGCACTGGAGGAACAGGAAATGGAAATGCTGCAGTACAAAGTGCGGTTAATAATATTTATTAATGCATGCAGAGAACTATTAAATTAAAAAAATTAATGGAGGTCAAAAGCCAGCTTCTAATTCTCTTCAGGCAAAAGAAAGAATTTATTAAAAAGCAGAAAAGGTATCCACAGAGAAACTTTCCCCATTTGTGTTATGTTCATGAAATATAGACATCATCTTGACATTCAGTTGATGAAAGAGAAGAAAAGAAACTAAAATTAACACTCAGGCAGTTAACATTAGCCACATTATGGGAGGGGGGACAAAAGCCCTGCATGCTCTGTTTGACACAGGCTGTTCTAAAGATCTGTTAAAGTTTGCAGAGCGCCATTTCCCAAGGAATCTTTTTGCAGAACCAGCTTTCATCATACCATATCTTCAGTACAGATAATCTTGGCATGGCATTATTTTACACAATGCAGCAAGCTGAAAATCTGAAGAAAGGATATCCAGATCTTCTGGCTGTGTGGATGCGATACAAAAAATTGGAGCAAAGAGGAAAAGAGTCACAAGCATGCATCAAACATGCTTTTTATTAGTGAAGGCATTCTTCTCTGCTGACAAAAATATTTGTTCAAATTTTCACATCAAGACAAGATTCAGGTGTAGTTGATCAAGTAACCTAAAGCTGCCTGATAACTTAAATAAATTCTCAGAAAGCACCTCAATTATTTTTTAATTTTCTGCGTGCTGGCAAGATGATTCTCAGTATGGCTTCCCTGCAAAATTTGCATGAGGAGAGCAAAAGTAACATGGTTTGAACCCATTGCTACATTTTACAGAGATGGTTGTACAGGGAGAAAAAAAAAAAAAAAAAGAGAGAGAGAGTTTTAAAATGTCACGGTTCTACTGCCACCAAAGCCAGCTGCAAGCCTCCATAGTTTTCTCACAGAGATGAAATCTATACGTGTGTGTAAGGCTGGGTACAGCCTGAATCTTTCTGAACCTTTTAAAATAAGGGATTTGTAGAGGCTTTGAGCCCGACCCTCTGCACACAGGTGAATTTCACCGTGGCAACAAACCAGGACTGTTGTCTCAAACACTGGATTTTTTTTATCCACTTATTTTTACTGGATTAAACTCTTTGTGCTTCATCAGTCTTGTTAAAATCTGACATTATTTCCCCTGATATTAACCCCCAATTTATCATTTACTCAAGACTGCACAAGGTTTCATCCTGGGAGTAGGTTTTTTCCTTTATCCATCTCCTTAAAAGCATAATTATCCTTTTGTAGGAGTTTGCTATGATCGGAGGTGTTCCTGGCTTCATGAACACACAGGAAGATGAGGATCTTACATTCTAATTATAATTTCAAACTATTAAATGTGAGGCCTGAGACTAGACACAAACCTTTAAGAACGAAGAAACAATACTGCCAAGAAATACAAGGAACTGCAAGGAGCAGTCCAAGCTCAGTCATGTATAAAATTTACAACACAGCTGAAGGGCAGGTCTATCATTTTCACTTTCCACTTTGGCTTGGATTACTGAAAAAGTTGTGGTTTAAATCCAGAAGGATCAGGCCTGCATTCATCACCTTACAACATCCTCAGCAAGACCCTTTGTCCCAAGCTCAGCACTGTGCTAGCACAGCTGTGCAGCTTCTGCCCGGCAGCTGGCTCCAGCCTTGCCAGTTCAGAGAGAAGGGAATATTCCACCATGCAGACATCTCATACAAGTATACAGATTTCCCCTTTCCTCCTTTTCACTCTGAATAATCTCACCTGAAAATATCGGACTGAAGGCTAGCATTGAGCTAATCAGCAAACAAAAGTTTTTCCACAAAAATTATCTGAAGGGGTATTCATAGCAAGCTCCCGGCAAATGTGCTAATCCAATCTGTTGTGTAAATATTACGTCTGGGACTGAGAGAGTCTGTGTGTGTACAGTATGAGATGATAAATCCGGGGTGTCAGGCTGTATGTGCGCAGCAGTACATGCAATGGAACCCTTGGACAAGGGCAATGGCAAACCATGAATGTCACCAGTGATGTCACGGGCATCTTAAGGTGTGAGGAATGCTCTGAAATCATGCCTCCATGGCATTCCTTGGACAAACTTTAACTCCTGGGCTTTTCTGCTTCTGCATCTTTGTGCATCACCAAACCTGCAGCTTGTACTTAATTTATATGAATCGACTGCTCTTTCATTAACAAGGCGTTTTTGTGCTACCGTGTCTTGGCAGGATTTAGAGATGTAGGAAGCCCAAGGTAGCAGGGAAGATGGGTCCACGAACAACTGCCATAGAGGATTGTTGTTACTGATCACATTTGTATCCTACTCATGTGAGACACCCACTCAGTAGGTAGCATCCCATAGGCAGGGATGCCACCCACAAGATCATGTTGCTCAGGGCTTCATCTAAACTGGTCTTGCATATTGTAATTTTGTATATTATAATCTTGAATATTGCAGTCTTGTATATTCCTAAAAGTTATGTTTACCAGTTAATAAGTCTAAGGAATTCCATCACGTTTAAACTATTTCTAAGGCAAATATTCTTTCCAGGTTTTCTCTGGGATAACAATTTATGTAGTGTTTTAAGCTGCACTCACTTTTTGACTTCATGTCTTCATGCTCTAAACCCACCACCCACCCACCCACCTACTCACACTCCTCAGCCTCAATCATTTCTTCATGTCCTGAGTTACTAGATGACTTGTTGTTGTTGCTGTTTTCTTTTCTATCAGCTATTGGTAAATGATTGTCTTAATGTCAGACCAAATAACTTTTTCTCTTTTTCTAAATTGGGTTGCCTATGACAGTAGGTTCAGGGAAATTTCGTCTGTTCATTTCTTTTCATGGTAGAATCCTTTATCACATTAACACCTCTCCTTATACAAGAAAGGAATACAGGTTATATTGTTGTGATAGTTTAGCTGTCTGTGTCTGGATTTTGGCATTGTCAAATAAGTGGTATGAATTTCCTCCTTTCATTCTCCAGGATTACACTACTACATTTTTTTCTTAGTGTCAATTAACTTTTCTTGAACTTGGCAGGTAGGCAGCACTCAGGAATGGCATAAATCTGGAAATAAAATGTTTTTGTGGTATTCTTTACACCCCTCTGCAAAATTGGTTGTCTAGATTTACATGCCAACTTACTCCAGTACTTACATAAACGGCCTAATTTAAAAATAATTATTATTGTTGTTGAATATCTAAAGTTTCCCACTGAATGGAATGAACTTAAATTCTCAGATCAAACAGAATTAAATAAAAACTCCAAGGTAAATGCTAGAATATATCACTTAATCTAAGCAGAAACCCAAGAAATAGCTACTAATTAACATAGCTATATGGAGTTCTGTTATTTTACATCATGTTAAATCCTATTTAGTGAATATATTTAAATAATTGCACCTACAACATTGGTATGTTAATGTAAACTATTGCTAAATAAAAGTCATTGAAATATGCATGTCCATCCCAATTATGAGGAGATGTAGCTTCAACCTTTGTCTGTATCTTTTTGCAATGATTTGTAATCTGCACTCAGTGCATTAAGATTTGTTAAAGAAAATTGAAATGATTTCCATTTATAAAGAAATAACAACAGTGTTTCAATTTGCTTCATTTTTTTTAATTAGGACTTTTAATGGGTCATTATTTTCCCAGCTCTGCTTCAGATTTGAAAAGTACTTTTAATCAGGAACACAATTTGTCCGATATACCATAGCAAAAGAGGGAGATGCATAAACATGAGTATACAAGTGATGTTGAAAAATAAACTATGGGATGTTTTCCCTCTCTGCCTGTTTCATGAAACATTTGTTGAATGATGTTTATTTATCCTGTTGGATTTGTTTATGCATTTTTTCCATAGAAAATGTCTAAAATTTCAGCAGGAAAAATAAGAACAGAGATTTTAATAAATCGCATTGTTCAAATGTAATCTTACAGGCAAAGTCCTCTAAGGTATTTAATAAAGTAGGCCAGAGAACTCTCCTTTGTGGATAAAACTCTGTTGCAACTTCCAAGTTGTTGGTGAGATAGATCTATTACATTATTAGCTCTGGGGTAAGGTTTCCCAGTGCTGCTAAAATATGCTCAATTTAAATTCTATATTATATCACCCTGTCTGAATAATTTTATATCTATATTTTACTTTTAAATGCTTAGCTGACTCATGTGTTTTAAAGAATTCTAAACATCTTTAAAAAAAATAATATACATTTTCATGTTACCTTTCTTTTTTATTGCATTTAACTAGAATAGGAGGAGGATCAAGGCCAAGGTTAAAACCGGAGGTTGCACTATATTTATATTTTGCTCAATACCAGCACTTAAGAACAGAGGCCAGGCATTTAAAAATAGGCTGAAGGGGATGAAAAGATTTAGAAGGGAATGCCTGGCAATCTCAGAAACTACCAGGTGAGTCATAGCTCTGCCACTGCAATGAGCTCTGGTCAGGGAAATTGGTACAATTTAGCTCAGAAAAGGGAGAGAGCAAAAATATAGAGGCAGAGCGGGGCTGTATTTCAATATTATTAAGAAATCCTTCCCACTTTGACCTGCATCTACAGAGTCTTCCAGCATCCATGCAGATCAGTACAGGATTCTGGCATCAACCTGAAGGTTTCTGTGTTGGTACTAGCTAGGACTGTAGACAAGATGTCCCACTGTAAGTAGAACTGGTCGGTAGCTCAGGATACTGCCTCCAGGCCTGTGATCATCTTGTTCCAGAGGGTATGGACAAGGCACATATGTTCACGCACCCATGCAGACCACTTAATACTAGTTTGTACTGTAAGAGAACAAGAAATAAGTGAAGTACATACAGGAGTTGTGCCAAAGAGACCTAGATCTAAGGCAATCTCATAAATTCTTAGCGTTGGATTTAGGAAATTTTCACATGTGAAATATTTTTTTTTTTTTTTTGCTTCTCAATGAAGAGGGATTTGATGTTGCTTGAAGTGGCATTTGTTCTGAAAGAGGAAATTTCTTTTTTCAAATACTCCATCATACCAACGTGAAGTATTCTCACAGAGGCTTCAGTTAAAACTCCAGTCTGTGTACAAATCAAACAAACTGTAGAACTATAGTACTCTTCATAAGGAAAGAACATATATAAATTCAGCTTCTTGGCCAAAGTTGAGCTCAGGTAAGAATAACACTTTTTTACCCAAGCTAAACTTTTGCTTGAGGAGGAGAGGAGGGGAGGGGAGGGGAGGGAGGGAGAGAGGAGAGGAGAGGAGAGGAGAGGAGAGGAGAGGAGAGGAGAGGAGAGGAGAGGATGGAGAGCGAGAGGAGAGAGAGGCGAGGAGAGGAGCGTAGAGGGAGAGGAGAGGAGAGGAGAGGAGGAGGAGAGGAGAGGAGAGGAGAGGAGAGGAGAGGAGAGGAGAGGAGAGGAGAGGAGAGGAGAGGCGAGGGAGAGGAGAGGGAGAGGAGGAGGGGGAGAGAGGAGAGGGAGAGGGAGAGGAGAGGAGAGGAGAGGAGAGGAGAGGAGAGGAGAGGAAGAGGAGAGGAGAGGAGAGGGAGGAGAGGAGAGGAGAGGAGACGGAGAGGGAGGGAGGAGAGGAGAGGAGAGGAGAGGAGAGGAGAGGAGAGGATGAGGAGGAGAGGAGAGGAGAGGATGAGGGAGAGGCGAGGAGAGGAGAGGAGAGGGCGGGAGAGGAAAGGAGAGGCGAGGAGAGAGAGGAGAGGAGAGGAGAGGAGAGGAGAGGAGAGGAGAGAGAGGAGGAGAGGAGAGGAGAGGAGAGGAGAGGAGAGGATGGAGTAGAGGAGAGGAGAGGAGAGGAGAGGAGGGAGGAGAGGAGGAGGAGAGGAGAGGAGAGGAGAGGAGAGGAGAGGAGAGGAGAGGAGAGGAGAGGAGAGTCTCAGCAGCTTGTTTTAATTCTCAGCAGTTTGTTAAACAGCTGCCTATATCCAGGCTCTTGACTGATGTTAAATGTGAGTTCCTTCAGGATTGCCACTAACCTACAAGTCCAAAATGACCCCTACTTTCTAAATCTCTATCAAAAGGAATAAATAGTATCTTCTACTTGAGTAGAAATAAATTCTCTGTGCTTTAGACTTCACATTGTTATCACATAATATTTTTCACTTCCTGGGGCTGCTAGTAGCTAATTCCATTTTTTTCCCATCCTTATGTCTTTTTTTTCCTTTGTTTCAAGGGGGTCATTCCTCACAGGAAATGCCAGTATTGAGTCAAAGTGTGATTTCAAGCCCACAAAGTCACACATTTTCCACTGGGAGGTGGGTCTGATCATATAATTACCTTTTGACACTTCCATGGTATCCTTTTTCACCCAAGTACAATGAGTTGGGCATTTCAGTATCTGCTCATCCTCAATTTAGACCTGTTTTGAAAATACAAAAGAACCTTAAGTGATCTGTCCACAGCATTGAAATACCAACCTTAGTGGGTACTTTGAAAACTCAAAGGCTTTACAAGATGAATAGCAAACTGCGGATGACAGCTCCTGTGGAGCCATTATTGAATTGCAGCAGTGATGACTGCATTGCTTTGGATTTAGATAAAAGACTCCATACAAGACAAATGGTAGGAGGACATCAAACAAGACTGTGTCCATGCAGTGACAGAAGCAATCCAATTGAAGAAGCTGTTGATTTCCCCAAGGCAACTTACTATTTCTTCTTGAGTAATTTATATTAAGGAGCTAAAGATTGTATATTCATCTTCTATTTATATTTTTCTCTAAAAATACTGCTTCTAGTTGTCAAATATGTTATTTGCTTAAACTGTTTGCTGTAGAGGAAATACCAGTATTGGAACTTGTTAATTTTTTCGCATCTGTGTTTTATTTAGCCTCAATATCACTATGTCTAAAGGTTATAGACTGAGAGTAACAATCAATACTGATCAGATAAAAAGATTAGTCAGCAAATCAATAGCATACATACCAACAGGAAGCACTGTGCACTCTAGACAACATTGAATACAAAGGGTACAGATAAACATCTTCACCTTTATTTAGATGAAAGCTGATTCTAGAGCACTTCCACTATCTCTTTAATAATGCACAAACCTTTTGGAGTCTTAGTTGGCTACACAAGCATAATGTAGATCTTGAATAAGTTTTAGTTGGCTATACAAGCATAATGTAGATCTTGAATAAGTTTTAAGATATGGCCTGATTGTCATATAAAATGGCTTTGTACAAAAACATCAGATTTGGGGTTTACTGATAGGTATTCAAGCTGCATCATGGAAAGGATGTTTGTGTAACTTCTTTTAGGAAGTCTACATAAACATTTGAGTCTTCCTGTCTTTCCCACATACGGTCACTTACAGGTTTACAAGGAATTAGGTTGGGTCACACAAACCAGATTGTCTCTTAAAAAACTTCAGAGGAATATACAACCTGTAAGCAAGCAAATATCATGCGCTGCAGCTGGGAATGGGCATTCAGCCCACAGAGCTGGTCTGTAACTTTTCCTGAGCAGAACTGCCTGAAATGCCTCTAATGCTGTATAGGTCTTCATATATGACCCATGTCAATAGGTCTTTAATATATACTGGTTCATTCTATGGATACACTTTTATTTGTCCATCATAACTACTAATAGTGAGAGACAAAGACTTAATTTCTTAGGGTAAAACTACAGATGAAAGTTCAGTTCTAAACGCTAAAGCAGCATTTACTTTACTGTAGCTTCTTAAAGGTGCATATTTACATTTTTTAGGTAAAGTCAGTCATTCTATGAAGGTGAAGAGACTAAACATATATACACACATAGGTGTGGATAGAAACATAAATAAAAATGAATTACCATAAATTTTGTATCTGCTCTCCTTCTATATTTATTTATTTATTTATTTACAACTTGCTATGCTTGCTTTCTGCTTTGGATCAGGTCTGGCTGCCATCCTTGTATTTTCTGCTCTTCCCCAATATGTCTTAGCACGTATTTCTCTCTGCATGCCTTTCTCTTCTTCCCTTCTGACTTCTTTTCATTCCCAGCCTCTTCTTATGAAATTAAGAGTAGGCTAGATTGGGATTAAAGTAAATAACCCTCAAAGAATAAATCCTTCTTTCTGATCCTTCAACTCCTCCCTCCCACACATACCACTTGACAAAGCATGGTTGGTTGTCATCAAAAATCTCACCTGGGATGCCACCCTGCCAGAAGGTATGGTCCAAAATCCCTCCTCATCCTGATGCGGTATATACCTTTGTTGCTGAAAGCTTAAAATAAATGCCACCCATTTTCAAATGACATTAGAGCAGAAGGAGCCTTTAGCCTGTCATCCCCTTACAATAATAATAAAAATTAAAAAAAATAGCAATTTTTTGCATAATCAAGAAACAGATCCCCTCCACCCCACCTTCAAATGCTTGACTGATTTAATGTGTGCTATGAGTCTCTGAACTCCTTGCAATGATCTTAGTCCCAGGAGGAATTATCCGCATCTGCTCCTTTCCTTTCAGTATACTATGAGCAATATACCAGAGAATCTAAAAGCTAAGTTTGTTCTGAGCAGTTTCATTGAAAAGAACAGGTTTCAATAAGCTAAACTTAAAAATAGATTCAACACTGTCTAATCTGTGATTCCTGCTTGGCACTGATAATTAGAACTAAAAAAAAAAAAAAAAAAGACAGAAAACTAACATGATTGATCTCAGTGAAAACAGTTTTGTTTTGTTCTCTTGAAGCTACCCTCAGAATTCTACTTTGCATGATTACTTGCAGTATTTTTCCATCTTCTTTTTTACTTTTCAGAACTGGCAATTTTGTCCAAAACCCAAATAACTGGCAAGCGCAATTGTCAGACCAGGGATAAGATCCAAATAAAATTATTCTTGCTTTCTCTTTTTCACCCAGGTCCTAATGGGAGCAAGGCTACCTTTCTCATTACAGAGTTTTTACTTTTAATTAGCTCCTTCCTCTTGCTGACACCTGCAGTATTTGGCTCCTGGTTGGGAGGCTGGAGCACTCGACGCCTTCCCTGTTCTTCCCTTGGTGAGCCAGTTGGAGAAGAAAGAACTAAACCACCTCCCGCGTCTGAAAAAGTAGCATAGGTACGTACCTATGGCTCCCTTGACTTCATCCATATTTATGGCTGCTCAGCATCTCTAAAAAGCAGAACACAACAGCAGTCTTTATGCCTTGTAGTCAAAAACTAGAGACCTTCAGGCTCAAGCTGTTTCCTCCCTTCTAGGATATCATACATGCAGAAAGATGTCTGTGGGGAACCACATTTTTTTCATCAATATCCATACGTGTATTGCTCCTTTAACTAGAAGAAAAATGAAGAGAGCAAAATCAGGTACCCTCTGAACCCTTTTTCAAGTAAACATTTTAATCAGTAAAAAATATGTTTTATTTCATGTGGCAGAGGAATCCACCTCTTTGCCCTCCACTTTATATTGCTCATATATTTTGCAAAATTAGTTTTCCCCCTAAAGAAAATTTCTTATGTGGATTTTGTCTTTTGGTTTCTTCCTTCCTGCAGACAATTACCTGATTAAACTCTTCTGATCTGAAGAACTGAATAGAAACTGACTAATGCAATTCCTCTGCAGCGTCCTCTCTGGAAAAAAAAAAAAAAAAAAAAAAAAAAAAGAGAGAGAGAGAGAGAAGAAAGAGAAGAGAAGAGAAGAGAAGAGAGAGAGAAGATGAAAGAGAATATAAGAGAACGAAGAGAGAAGAGAGAGAAGAAAGAGAAGAGAGCGGATAGCCCCTAAGAGAAGCATACGATGCTCCTCCTCCAGCGAAGAGATCCGAGAGATCCCCCTCCCTCCTCCCCTCAGCTCCCCCCCCCCCTCCCCGCACCCGCCTCCAAGAAAAGAAAAGAAAAGAAAAGAAAAGAAAAGAAAAGAAAAGAAAAGAAAAGAAAAGAAAAGAAAAGAAAAGAAAAGAAAAGAAAAGAAAGAAAAAAAGAAGCAAACCACCTCAAAGCCTATGTCAAAGGCACGTCTCAAAAGCATATGTTGATTCCACAGTACAAAGTCACTTTAAATCCCCTACTCCCTCATTTCTACTCCCCAGGAGGAATCAAACCAAACAGAGAACAGCTTACATTGTCAAGACCTGGGAGCTCGTTGTAAGAATAACTAGTTCTTGACATTTGAAATTACTCTGGTTCAAACATTTTTTGATCTTTCCTATTAGCCCCGTGTCTTGAGAAATAAAAATATGATAATCAGAAAGTACATAATTGGGTTCAGGGTATTCTGTGGTCACCCTCACTGGCTCTGGAGATAAAGGCACTTTGAAAGATTACGCACAGATATCTGGAATTTATTCTGCACAGTCTGTGAAATGACAGATCTTTTTTCTTAATTATGCTGGCTATCAGTCTAACACCTGTAGTTAGCCATTCTGTCCTGAGGAATCTCTTCTGATACACTTTATTGTTCCACCAGAGACATAGCAGCAAAGCAGTATGTGGATATTAGGACATTTATTACTGCAGACTCTGAGGATAACTCTCATCCCCACTCCCACTGTTTGACACCACTATGCCTCCACTGCCTCCAGGCTTTGAGGAACAATCCACAGGGAATGCTGCCACACTTCCCCAAGCATTATGGACTGGAAGCCGCAGTTTTACAAGGTGTTTGGACAGAACTACATGTGCATTAGCCAATCCACACAACTTCCAATTAGATGTTTTCGGGAGGGTCAGTCTAGTGCATTCATGTGCCAGTTGCCAGTGCAGCCGCCTGACAGCCGTTCCCGTTCCATGCTGCCCGGCCCATCACCAGCTCTTCTTCAAACCTACACAAGTTCCTTTGCTGCTGCAATGAATCACATACAGAGGGCTTTCCACAAGCCAGGTTTATTGAGCTGTATTATAGGAAAATATATTTCAGATGGCCCAGCTGCAGCTAAAACAGTCTGTCATTTTTAATTCTTTCTGTCATCTCATTAGGTATACAGCTAGAATGACAGTGAAAAACAAAACAAAACAAAACAAAACAAACAAACAAAGAAAAACCCTACAACAAACAAGAGCAAGTAAAACCCAGAACACAATGTTTTCATACATTCCTGTTCAAATTTTAACGGAAACACCAAGGCACTGAAAGATTCATTGGCCAAACATATGTGACTTGGTGCTGTGTATAATAAAGTGACATGTAGAATGCTCTCAGTAGGCACATAAAGCAATTAAAAATAACTGTGCTTCAGAGCATTGTGTTCTAACATAAAAGGTCATCCCTATAAACATGAAAAAGATGACTGTGTTTTCCTGCAAACAGACAAACAAATGCTCAATTAGAGGTTCCCTACTCACATGGTAATCTTTAAAAATCTCTGAAAAGATGACATATCCCGCATCCTTCTCCCTCAGACTGTGTCTTTTCATCAAGAGTTAATATTTTAAGTGAATGCTGTTGGAAATAATATAGAGGCCAACTATATATCAGAAGACAATACTGTACTAAATACAAAATATTAACCCTGTGCATACACATGACAGTGAAGTATAAACCCTGGCTAAAATTTTGTGAAAATTAAAATTCTATTTTTTTCCTCATAAAGATTGCTTGTTTTCACATTAATGCATTGAAGTTGTATTCCAATGGAAGCTGCAGAGAGTACATTTTGAGGACTCTGATAATTTTTGCAGTAACACTCTGAGTTTGTGATAATAATGTTTATGCACAGATGTAAAGAATGTGCTGACAGAATAACAAGGAGTCAGACAGTGTTTGCACAGTGTTCATTTTTATTTAAGGAAAAAAAAAAAGGAGTACTACACCTGGCTATGAACAAACAGCTTTTTCAGAAGTGGAAGCAGTTCGCAGTATATTGCAACTCCCTAAACTCCCTGGATTAATCCAAAAAAAAAAAAAAAAAAAAAAAAAAAAAAAAAAAAAAAAGTTATAGGCAAATCAGAGTATCATAAGTTTTTTTTTTTTTATGCCAATAAAGAGTTCTCTTTAAATGGCTGTCCCACTAATACTAAAAGGAATCTTAGCCCAAACAGCAGTGTTATTAAGTAAGGATGTGTTCAAAAAATGTACATTTATTGCAAAGAAATGGAAGTACTATGCACTTCTTTCTCTTGTATTAAGGCTATATTCACATTCCACCTCTGCTTGTAATGCCGTAATGCCCCCAGGGGTGTATTGAATGATAACAAAGGTACAAATGTAGCATATGGAAATAGTTATCTGCTGTTTCTTAATATGCAGCTATGGTATTTGAACGCTAATTGATGTACCAAAACCTCATATTTTACAATGCCATAGGATGAGAAGAGATTACAGGTAATGTCATTTGCTCTCCAACTGATCAGAGAAATTGCCCTGATCAATACCTGCAGAACTGTGTAGCAGCTCCATTTGGAGGAAATACACTGAATTGGGTAGAAAGAAAAGGAAACAGTCATGAAGAGTAGAGGAGAAGCAGTGAAATATTCAGTTGGAAGAAGTATTTATTTGGAAAGTTGAAGCAAGCAAAAATCTGCAGCTTCACAACAGACTCTTGAATTGCAATGGGTAACCACAACCGATGCCTCCCTCTTTTGAAGCATTCAGCTTTCAACCTAATTAGAGCAGGGGCAGAGAGATCAGATGTTCCTTGCTACTTTTGAAAAGTAACTGGGAAAAATCCACGTAATCAGGAGGTATTTATGATTTCCATTGACTTTCAATTTTCTTGGTTCATCTGTTCCCTTTCAGACCGTTTGATGTTAGTCTGTTCTAAACTGTATGTTGAATTTGCTTTAATCAGGTGTCTTTGTAACAGGTATTAGGTCATTTACTGTTTGATTTTTTCAGTGAAAATACAGATCTTCTTAGTTTCAAAAGTGTCCTTTGAAGAAGCCTGTCATACTCCAGGCAGAAGAAAAAAAAAAAAAAAAAAAAGAAAAAAGAAAAGAAACAAAAAAAAAAAAGAGGATCAAGCAGGATAGTCGGGAGCAATCCTGCAAATCTCATCTTTCCCCACAATGGTGGAGAACTCCAACTCCGATGTGAGTGGGACCCTTTCTATTCATCATTGCTCCCCATTTTCCTATCTCTTGTAATCTGAGCTCATGCCAATTTCCAAATGTAGAACTTAAAATCAAGGCTGAGAATTATGTGCACTAAGGGCTAGCTCATCCAAATGCTTTTCTCAATTTTACACCTCCTCTCTTCAGAACCTTCTCACACCTTTGCTGCTTCTGGACTCTCAAGTCCCCTTTCCCCTGTATCATATCTGAGTTTAGAGTCACAGCCTTAATGGCACCTTATCTCCAGCCCCAGATTTCAGCTTCTTATCCAATCCCACCTATCTGCTGGCCATTGCAGCCACCTGAAATCCCCCTTCTTGCCAGCTATCCCCATTAAATCAAAAGTCCTACTACTCACAAGGATATTCTAAGTGCTGCAGTTAATGAAAAGCCACTTAATCGATGCTCTGTGGTTAGAAGCAATCTCCTACAGTCAGTGGGTATAAGTTCCGCTCAAGCAGAATTTCCCTTTGGAAGGGCATGTCTTTCTACTTTGCCTGTAGAAGGAGCCCACAACAAATATGCTCCTTATCTCCTCACCTAGCAAGAACCAATAAGCTAAGTCTCTGCTTGTTTAGCTTTAAAGTTTAGCTTAAAAGAGTATGTTTAATTAGAAAATCTAGCTCCTATACTTTGGCAGTGAGAACTCTGAAAAGTCTCTGCCAAAGAAACATAGTCACCTCTAATAGACATATTTTTACTTTTTAGAGGAGCTCTCTCGTATATTCTAGGTTCAACGTTGGTAGTACGTGCTGAACACCACTGAAAAACAAACCATAAGCCATCTTGAAAATTTATTTTAATTGTTCCTAATATACTTTTTTAAGATTAATATCTCCTTACTTGCATTAGGAAGGGAGGTCTTAAGATGGTACTGTTTGGGACATGGAAAGAATAAATTGTGTAGTGCCAACTGAAAAGGTGCTGAGGTAGCTGGTAATTGACAGAGTTAATGAAGTATGTTAAGCAGGTACAATATAGATGAAGTTGTCCCCTGCAGGGTGATTGGCCACTGGGGAAATAATGTGACAGTTGTCTTTGTGTAAAAATAATGTGGTACTCTTTCTTTGCCAAATCCTATCTACAATGAGAGATGAAAGAGATCTTGCAAGGATATCTAGGTCTTCCTATAGCAAATACTGTGCTTGTAGCTGGCAAGTGAAGGACAAGAAAAAGAGAGGGTATGAAATGTAATGGCTATCTGTAAAGTAGTTAGGCTATTTTCTACAACCCACACAGGAATTACTCACTATAGAAAAGTAATAATTTTACACTGTTTTCTATAATCCATGTTTATATATTACAATACATTATGGTGCTGTCCGGGGATGAATGAGAGAAGAATTTGGCTTTCCAGTTTTCTGGAAGTTGATTATTTTTAGATATTGTTTTAATAATTAACTATTTCCCAAGAAGTACAATGGGTTTAGACAGCAAAGGATATTTTTGAGAGCAATATAGTTATTATGTTATTATCTCAGTCTATTGTATATCAATATTACCATTGAAACATCAAGGAAAATATCAAATGGAAACAGAACTCAGCCTCTCAATTATAAGAAGCTGTGTGGTAAGCACTGGTTCCAAAAGAGGCA